TATGTGTGTGTGTATATTTTACATGTACATGTGTATGTACACACATACTTATACATACAAACGTATATAGGTATCTAATATTTATATATATATATATATGGTGATATAGAAAACGTGCAGCTATAGATGACTTAAGTAATTAAGCTTGTGAATTTTAAGCATTTTCTGAACATTCCGTCTTTCTCCAAATACAGGAGGCCAAACAGTTTGCTGATGAGAACGGTCTTATGTACTTAGAAACAAGTGCTAAGTCCGGAGATAATGTGGAAGAGTCGTTCCTGGAAACTGCCCGCAAAATTTACCAAAACATCCAGGACGGAAGTCTGGATCTAAATGCAGCCGAGAGTGGAGTGCAACACAAACCCGCATCACGTGGCATTTCTCTGACTGAACGAGAACAGGCAGAAGATGCCAGCAACTGCGGTTGCTAAATTCCCTGATCTGATGCGGCTTGTAATGTACAACCGGCGTTGTTAAATCGCACCAGTTTCGCCTAGGTGAAATGCATAGAACTTACATAAAAGAATAAATCTCGAAGAAGCATAATTGTGGTGCTCTAATAATTGCTGGTTTAGCCTATACTCGATTGGTGTGAGAATCTTATAGAAGTTCAATCGTATGGATGCGGAATGCTATACGTCCACCGCATGCGACCTTCATATATCCCCTTAATAAAAAGATGATATACTCGCATATCAAGAACTTAGATTCAATTCTGAGGCAAGAGTTTACATACAAACGTAAACGTGAACATTAACTATCACGGGCTATTAATAGTTGGTAGGTAAGAGCATGTGCATAGGTTACATTTCCCTCATTATCAACAAGTCCTTACATTTCCCTTCTTATGAAGTATACGAAATTTGTTTATCAATGACTTGAGGCATATCCATATCGCAAGGGCTTCTAATAACTAGAAGAGCGTTTTTAACTCAATTTCACAACAGTACAGAATAAAATTACCACAGCTTTAATACTCTTTGCCTACCATGGGCTCATACGATGGGATAGGATAAATGCTTGAATCTATATGATAAAATGGCCCACAAACCATCCCATGAGAAGTAAGGTGAGGATAAGGACCAATTGGTTCTGTGCCCCTTTCTCTGCCACGATCATTTTAGTGGCAAGATCAGGCTCGTATTCTTTGGGTCCACCTGCGTCCTTGCGTTGTCGTAGCCCAGAAGACTGTGATGGAAAATTATATGGATGATCAGCCAGAGTAATCTTGTATAATTTCACTACCACAATACAAGCCACTAACATTGACAGCCAATTGAAAATGTAAATAAATGCCTCTAAAACCAAGATCAAATTAAATACCTTAAGCTCGTCGATGTCTGCCTGAATTTCACGATTGCTTTCCTTTAGACTCCCATTCACCTTCTTGAGCTGTTATGTTCAAAACAAATATAAATCGAATCAGTACACAGTAGTACCAAACTCGCATTAGCAACTGGAACGAAACATATTTGTCTTGAGCATGGAATATATTTTGCAATAGGAGGCAAACGCAAAGGGGAGAGTATTTAAAACATCGCTTGTCGACAGACTTTGCGATACTGGACTCCAGCGCACCTGCGACTCACCTTTGCTAGTTCGGATTCATGGTTGGCACTCGTCGGACTCTCCAGCTATACGAGAATTGATAGTGCAACATGTCAATCAATGAACTTCAGTTGTCGGTGGACGAAAACGAGCAAAATATAAGCGCATCCGCAAAACTACAGTATTTGAAATTTTACAGCTTCCACGCTATAAGTGAGACTAAAATCTAATTATGCAAATCACAAAAGAAAAACTTAATTTCGTACCACTGCTGACAAGGTGCGACCTGCTTCTGATCCACGTTTTGCCGATGACAAGGACTGTGACGTAAAACAAGAAGGTGGAGCCATTGATAAATAGGAATGCGTCATAACCAGGAAACCGCAGCAACTATACGAGAAGAGGCAACACGAAATGCGAATGATTGTCTCAATAGCTTTTTTCTTTTCTTGATTCCGGATCACTTACCGAATCGATGCAGTACTTGCACTTCAACTTTGCCTCTCCTATTTCGCTTTTCGCGACGGATTTAAACTATCCGAGATGTCATAAATCAACGGCAAACGTATGAGGACGATTTATAAATATGCGAGATTCCGGTCTAAATTGTATAAAAACAAGAAGACGATACGAAAATACTCTCCTCTTTTGGAAGGAACCCGATTTACAACGTCAACTGAAGTCTATATATATAATAGGATCGCTCGTTCTTTTCGAACCCAGCTAAAACTTACCAAATCGTCACATGACAAGCCGGACTCTTTATCAAGAGTGGTGAGTATAAGAAATTTGTCTTTGCATGGCGCGTTCAGTTCCTCCGGCTTGAGAGAATTCAATATTACTGGTGGATATAGGTTTTCAGCACATATAATTCAGATGAGGGCAAATTTTTCGATTACAATATCGACTGCACTATCAGAACTCCCCAAATATATGTGAAAAAAAAATCTTTTTAGAGATTCTGTCAACGACTGAGTCTTTAAAATCGAAAATGGAATGGCATGTTATAAAATCAAAACACGGGAAGTAGTGCATCAAGAAAGGTAGCCAAAAAGAGGTTCAGTTAATATGCCCTGAACTTACTCTCCACAGACTCTGATTTTCCAGCAAGAACTTTTCCATGATTGGGGCGTACGCAGTAGCGGCGGGGGGCTGTGGTTTTAATCTTGTAGGCGATGGCTGTAGAGTTTGGATTCTTCAGCACTAATCGAATATTCACCGGCTGTGTACCTGGGTCTACAAACGAAGTGAGGTGCTGTGAGCTTACAATGACGGGTTGCACAAAGCTGAAGAAGAGTGACTGTTAGTGATATTTTGTATCTCTAGCAATGCATAGATAATTGTTGCGTCACGATTGAAAAATGAAAGTTTGCGGTGTAATTTGAAACAAAATCACGATTGAATAAATATATTTTGCGATGTACTGTGGTCCGAACTGGCTTGGGCACCATGAAGTGTGAGTCTACATTCTAATCATGCAGCTAAATCATATCTGAGACCGATATATCAAACAAACACACAAACACACAAGCTCATATATATATACATATATATATATATATACATGTATATATAT